CAAAACAAGGAAAGAACTCAAGAGGACAAAGAGACCAATGAGGAAAAGGGCAGTGAAGAGGACGACGAGGGCAATGGCGATGATCAAAACAAGGAAAGAAATCAAGAGGACAAAGGGACCAATGAGGAAAAGGGCAGTGAAGAGGAGGACGACGAGGGCAATGGCAATGAACAAAACAAGGAAAGAAATCAAGAGGACAAAGAGACCAATGAGGAAGAGGGCATCGAAGAGGACGACGAGGACAATGGCAATGAACAAAACAAGGAAAGAAATCAAGAGGACAAAGGGACCAATGAGGAAGAGGGCAGTGACTCTAGCGAGGACAATGAAGATGAGCAAATCCAGCAAAACGCAGACGAGGACGAGAGCACTGACGAGGAAGATGGGCAGTGAAGATGAGCCAACAAAAGTCCTTAGTACTTAGCTATGTGTGTTTGCGTTTGTGCTTGTATGTTTTCCAATTAGAATATGATGATGCACTAGTGTGGGCTACATGCAGCTAAACTTAAGCATTAATTAGACAGATTTAATCGTGTTATGGATGCTTGTTTTATTAGACAAATGTAATGCTTTGACTGCGTTTTACTTTTTGTTAACAGGGTATCTCATCTGATATGATGTACAGTTACTAAAGAATATTGTGAATGGATCTATGTAATGCTCGTGTCAAGGTTTAGAGAACATTATGAATCATCTTTTTCATAAGTTTGAAGTTCTGGAAAAAAGTCCATTCTGTATGAAACACCATTATAATAAGTACACGGGATAGTTCAACAGGTGAAGGTCTCCTACTGGAAATCTGACACCTTATACTGGTAATCTCACGACCGTAAAATACTCAAGTGAGATGTAAAAAGCAGTGCTTCATTCCTCAGGCAAATATCACGGCCGTGCGATGTCCCGTGAAATGCAAAGAGCAGTTCTCACTATCCCAGGAAATTTCACGGCTACTACTTGACATTGTCACGCCCGTCAAAATCTCACATTCTAGAGTTGTACCTTTACACTAAACTTAAAGTTGTACCTACACTTTCCTAAACCCGTCAAAATCTCACATTCTAGAGTTGTACCTTTACACTAAACTTAAAGTTGTACCTACACTTTCTAATAAATCCCTTTATGGTACAACCCAAACTTGTATCTACACTAATGGTACAACTTTAATTTGTACCTACACTTTCTAAAAATCCTTCTATGGTACAACCCAAACTTGTACCTATACTATGGTACAACTTTAAGTTGTACCGACACTTTCTAATAAATCCCTTTATGGTACAACCCAAACTTGTACCTATACTAATGGTACAACTTTAATTTGTACCTACACTTTCTAAAAATCCTTCTATGGTACAACCCAAACTTGTACCTATACCATGGTACAACTTTAAGTTGTACCTACACTTTCTAATAAATCCCTTTATGGTACCACCCAAACTTGTACCTATACTAATGGTACAACTTTAATTTGTACCTACACTTTCTAAAAATCCTTCTATGGTACAACCCAAACTTGTACCTATACTATGGTATACCTTTAAGTTGTACCTACACTTTCTAATAAATCCCTTTATGGTACAACTAAAAATTGTACCTATACTAATGGTACAACCTTAAGTTGTACCTACACTTTCTCCAAATCCTGCTATGGTACAACCCAAACTTGTACCTATACCATGGTACAACTTTAAGTTGTACCTACACTTTCTAACAAATTCCTTTATGGTACAACTAAAAATTGTACCTATACTAATGGTACAACCTTAAGTTGTACCTACACTTTCTCAAAATTCTTTTATGGTACAACTAAAAATTGTACCTATACTAATGGTACAACCTTAAGTTGTACCTACACTTTCTCAAAATTCTTTTATGGTACAACCCAAACTTGTACCTAAAACATGGTACAACTTTAAGTTGTACCTACACTTTCTAACAAATCCCTTTATGGTATAACTAAAAATTGTACCTATACTAATGGTACAACCTTAAGTTGTACCTACGCTTTCTCAAAATTCTTTTATGGTACAACCCAAACTTGTACCTATACCATGGTACAACTTTAAGTTGTACCTACACTTTCTAACAAATCCTTTTATGGTACAACTCAAAATTGTACCTATACTAATGGTACAACTTTAAATTGTACCTACACTTTCTAATAAATGTCTTTATGGTACAACTCAAAATTGTACCTATACTAATGGTACAACCTTAAGTTGTACCTACACTTTCTCAAAATCCTTCTATGGTACAACCTAAACTTGTACCTATACCATGGTACAACTTTAAGTTTTACCTACACTTCCTAAAAATCCTTCTATGGTACAACCCAAACTTGTACCTATACCATGGTACAACTTTAAGTTGTACCTACACTTTCTAACAAATCCCTTTATGGTACAACTAAAAATTGTACCTATACTAATGGTACAACCTTAAGTTGTACCTACACTTTCTCAAAATTCTTTTATGGTACAACCCGAACTTGTACCTATACCATGGTACAACTTTAAGTTGTACCTACACTTTCTAACAAATCCCTTTATGGTACAACTAAAAATTGTACCTATACTAATGGTACAACTTTAAGTTGTACCTACACTTTGTGAAACAAATTCTTCAATGGTACAGCTGAAACTTGTACCTATACTATATGGTACAACTCTAATTTGTACCTACACTTGTATACATTGATTCGTTATTTACAAGATTGCCATTAATGATGTGGGACCAGTCATTTAGTGGGTTACCTCCTCAACAGGTCACCTTTTTTTTTATAGCATGGGTGCTATAGAGCACACTAGAAGGGCTCTTCACGTCTATGGTAATTGCTAAGAAACTAAAGCAACTCACACAAATATACTCAATTCATTAATCTCATACTATTAACATATATTTTGGTTAGATGGCTATTTCTAATGACTATAAGATAGTTGCAATAAGTATTTGCATGTATTTATGTCAAAGGTTATTGTTGGGGATGTTACTAAATACTCCACGCGCGGACTAAGTAAGGGCGTGCTCAATCGGTAACGTGCTCCGCTCGAACGCCGCTACGAGTATATAAAGGCATGAAACTCTCCATTGAGGCCTGAGGGGGACTTCTTCTCTCTCCTCAATTTTCACTTTCCACTATCTCTCTACACTTTATCTCTCTACCTTGTTCTCTCAACTTTCGCCTTAAACATGAACTAACTTGATCGTCGGAGCTTAATCCGGGGGCATCCCCGACTCTTTCACAGGTTTCTTCCCTCCCGACGAGATCAGACGAACGGATCGTGAGTCAACCCCACACCAACAAATATCATTGTTCATACCTCGAGCTAGATGGTACAAACAATTGGCGCCCACCGTGGGTGAATCTACAAATAAGACTCGACTGAAGCACACAAATAAGACTTCAATAAGAGCATTGGTGAATCTACAAATAAGACTCAACTGAAGCACACAAATAAGACTTTAATCAGAGCATTGGTGAATCTACATATAAGACTTGACTGAAGCACACAGGTAAGACTTCAATAAGAGCATTTGTGAATCTACAAATAAGACTTGACTGAAGCACACAAATAAGACTTCAATAAGAGCATTGGTGAATCTACAAATAAGACTCGACTGAAGCACACAAATAAGACTTCAATAAGAGCATTGGTGAATCTACAAATAAGACTCGACTTAAACACACAAATAAGACTTCGATAAGAGCATTGGTAAATCTACAAATGAGAGTGTTCAACTACCTCTATCTCCAATAAAGGGCACTAAAAGTGCGTGGTAACCCCGTAACATAATTGTGCGGCTATCACAAGCGCACCAATGAAAGAGTACACACTTGTGTGTGTGAAGAACTCCAATAGGAGAGTGCTCAAAACCTTGGAAAATTTTCAACAAGCAATTGCTCAACGCCTTGGAGATTCCAATAGACGAGCGCTCAACGCCTTCATAAAATACGCCAACTGGGGGGCAAGACGCAAGAAGCTGGCACCACGTCAGCCAAACGCGCCACCAGCTGGGGGGCAACTAAGGGTACATAGTGCTTCATCCAAAATTATCGGCGAAGATTTAAAAAATAAATAAATAATAATAAGCTAGAGATGAGTTAAAACTCACCACCAGCTTGGGGGGCAATTGTTGGGGTGTTACTAAATACTCCACGCGCGGACTAAGTAAGGGTGCGCTCAATCAGTAACGTGCTCCGCTCGAACGCCGCTACGTATATATAAAGGCATGAAACTCTCCATTGAGGGGGACTTCTTCTATCTCCTCACTTTTCACTTTTCACTATCTCTCTACACTTTATCTCTCTACCTTGTTCTCTCAACTTTCGCATTAAACATGAACTAACTTGATCGTCGGAGCTTAATTAATACGGGGGCATCCCCGACTCTTTCACAGGTTTCTTCCCTCCCGAAGAGATCAGACGAACGGATTGTGAGTCAACCTCACACCAACAAATATCATTGTTCATACCTCGAGCTAGATGGTACAAACAATTATATATGTGTTGGTTGTTGTATTTTATTCATTATATAAATTATGAATTGATGCATTACACGGAGATGTTATTTTCCTTACGTGATGACAATATTATTTTATATTGATTATCCCGATAACCAATTAACCAAACTGACTAAACTTTAACAAAACTAGCTCAAAAGTAATCTTTGTACCCTTCTTTCCTTTTTTTTTTTTTTTTTTACAAGATGTACCCTTCTTTCCATGATGGCCCTTTATTTCATAACCAAAGAGGAAACAAGGAGAAAGAAAACCAAAGGTACTGAATACTTTCTCATCTGGAAGAGAGTATGTAATATAGAGCGGATCGATGCAGTGGAGAAGCTAGGTTAAAGTCAGAAATAAGGGCTATACCGCATCGACCTCACTCAAATTTGAAATAGTGTAGTCTGTAAGACCTTTATTATCAAAGTTCGAATCACTAGTCCTCTCGCGCATTCAAAATTCCTAACTTCGTCACTGAATCGTCTCTATCGATGGATCGATCAACACGGGTGCCAATTGGCCACGTTGCGCACCGGAACCCCGCGCTCGGTTTTGCCCGAAACCCCGTCGGCACCCTCGACTTCCCACCGCAAAATGTGGTTGCCGCGGTGGAGGTTCTGACGGTATGCGTCGAAGACAAGACACTGATCGGTTTCCGCAATATAAAGGCGGCACCAGAACAGCGTCCCGCCCAAGGCGTTGGGATGAAAGCTCCAACTGTACTCCTCGTAAACGCCGAGGTCGTGGAAGCCGAGGTCGTCGTCTTTGGATTGGCAGTGCACCGTTACTGTGCGCGCCTCTGGATTTACCACGTTGGCGATGGTGATGGTCACTTCCTGGCTCCCGCGGGCTGGGACGACGAATGTGGTCGTCGCTAAAAGTACTGCTACGGTGGTGGCTAGTAGTCTTTGATGGATCATTGTAGTTAGGGCTTTGTTGCTTTTGTGATTTAAGGCTGAGATGAGAAGAGAAGAGAAGGGTTTGGTTCTTCTTAAATACGAAAGGTGATGCGATGATGATGAATTGCCTAGATGGATCTCCCGCTTAATTTATGTCTTGAATTAACCGCCCGACAGGCAGACCATAATCTCGTGTTTGTGTTCAATCAATTGTTTCTAATAACTCGAGTTGTTGGGGGTGGTTCATTTTTCTTACACGCCTCATCAAATGAAACCAGGACGTGAAGTTTGCTTAGCCCCGTCATGTCATGTGTTCAAAAGACAACGGTTATTATTAGGAGTCGTGAGGACTTGAGCATGCGCGAGATCTGAATACCAAATCAGCTCTCTGATATCACGTCATAAATCAACTGGTCCCAATAACTCGAGTTGTTGCGATAGGTTCGTGTATGATACTTAATTAACATTCCTTAAACATATCTCAAACGACAGCCAACTCATATAGGCTTGAAGTTTGCACATACCTGTCATACCATGCAGCATGCATGTGGTTTAAAGAAAATGGTGAATATTGAGACTCTTGAGGACTTGAACACATTACCTCAAGGACAGCCCGAACTCTTATATCATGTCATAAACCAAATGGCCTCGGTAACTCGAATTGTTGGAAGATGGTCCAGTAATGGATATTAAACCACATACTAATACACACATCAAACGAAAGTTACTCATATAGGGTTGAAGTTTGCACATGCATCAAACGCCCTGTGTTTACCAACAATATGGGTAGCAGGGATTCGAACAAAAGAGCTCTCAATTACAAAAGACTCTGATACTATACCAAAAACCAATATTTCAATAACTCGAATGATTAGAAATAATCAATATATGATATTTAACCACTTTCTTACCGCCTCTGACTTATCCTCTCTCGTTTTGCACTTCCACACGTTTAGTTGCGTTACGTACGGCTCTTGAGTACTCTTTATGTCGTCTTTCAAGTCTTAATCGTGTTCCTGCATGAGATGATGAGGGACTTGGATTCATGTGTCGCAGTGGTTCGAAGGGTATGGAAATAAAGAGACAGAAACCTCGTAGTCGTTATAGCATACACATTGTGGATGTCGTATATAGAGTTGACTTCACTCCCTTATTAGCAACCATGTTTTGGCTTTTGGACTCTGTTGATTATAACAGACAAAAGGATACTTGCATAGACATATATTCTTTTAACTCTTTGCTAACCATTTGCAAGAAGGATTATGATGCATCACAGACGTTTTTGTATAAACATATATTACGATACACACTATGAAATTGTCGGGATCATTCTAAAAATTTTAACAACCATATCTTGCAATAAAAAATGTCAATTCGATTCCACCTCAATTAAAATCCTGTCGCTGCTACTGATAGTATTTTTGTGATACGTTGACCTAATTAGGTTGTCAAAGTGGCCGATCAATGGTGTCATGGTGTGTCCACTACTCGGTTAGAACATGGGATTGTACTTGTCGGTACGTCTCCAAGAGCAAAAGTGTAGAGCCCATTATCCCATCTTCATAAAATGGATGATTACCAATCATTACCACAAGGTTGTGAACCTAGTGGACCAGTCGGTTGACCCATTATGAACCTAACCGATGAGAAAAACGAGTCACGCACTTGTTGGTCGGCCTGCTGCAAGGTTATTAGATTGGAGGTTACATGACGTCGTTCTATCATTTGCTTTGAGAAATGTGCCTCTTTTCTGGTTTTCCTCTAACTATATTTTTAGAATTCTAAGTAGAACATTTGAATATTGATGTAATATAAGTGTGTATGAATTTTCAGTATATATCAGCAGCGGATCCAGGACACAGTAGAGCACTGGGCCGCATTTCATTAGAAAATTAGATACCGTAAGAAAATCACAATTTTTTTTACAATATCAATTGTACACGTCGATCTTTTAAAATTTAATATAGTGAATTTATCAATAATAGAGTTTACATCCACACCAATAGAATACTCTCTTTAATTAAGATAAAATAGTTAACCAATTGACGAGAAAATTTTCGCTCATTTCGTTGCGCAAATAATTTTTCGCCAATTTCATTGTTGAAAAGGTTCTCTCCATAGTAGTTGTTGAAACGAGCAATGTCAACATTGGACAAATCAATCGAATATATTTTGTATCACTTCTTACTTTCACCAGCTGCTCTAGTAATTTCTAAAGGGAATAAACCTCATGCTTTTTTAGTCTTTTACGTTTTAGAATTTTAGGTTTCATTGTTCGTTTTTTCTTTAGATAAGAATCATTAGAGCTAGAATTTTCAGGCTAAATTTAGAGTTGTGATTTGAATATGTTCATCTTGTCCATTTTTCTAATTACACACAATTTTATTATAAAATAACACTGGGCTGAATGGCTAAAATCGATAAACTTATAAAGGTTATACTAGCTCTGGATCCAAGGGAGGGTTGTGTCGTGGCTTGGGGTGGCCACCCCTGGATCCGCCACTGGTATATATATGTTGGATCCAAGTATTATATGTTATTTTGGTATAATGTTATGTGTTATTATTCATATATATAATTTATAAATATATATAATGTCTTTTTTTATTTATCTCGTTTAAGTCGGACAAACCATTAAATCTCAATTCACTTGCTCAATTGTGCCTATGAACTAAACCGAGTTGACCACCTTGTTACACCAGTCACCACTACCATGTCTCATGTAAGCCCAACAAGCTATTGGACTAGACAGATGATGAAATTTTAAGAACATTGCCAGCAACCCACCAACTAAGGTCCGAATTTTCAGGGGGAAAAGAACATATTGGGCTCTCTCCTACTGACATGGCCTATCCATTATCAATAATAGGCTGCATTTTGGGAATTATGGTATAGTAATCATGAGTATAACAAAAAAAAGTATTAATTATCTTTTTTTAACAAAAAAAAAAGTATTAATTATCTTTTTTAATAAATTAAATTTTGGTAGTTATCATATATTAATTATAATTTTTTTTCTTTCTCTCACTTCCACAATCTCCAGCCAGATCTTTCTTTCTTTTTTTTCAATTTTTTCCTTCTCCGTTCAATCGAAAATAATAACATTGCAAAAATAAAACAAGAATCAATATCAATCCGTTAGACATTCACTACCATTTCGGAAAACACCAATACAAATAAATCAATACCAATCCGTTAAACAACCACTACCATTTCACTAAACATCAATATCATTTTAGATTTAATCAATACCAATACATGCAGATCAATATCATTACATGATAATCAATACCAATACGGAAAAAACAAGACCAATGCGGAAAAAACTACCACTACGAAAAATCACTACCATTTCACAAACCATAGCTCAATTTATTACAGCAGCAAAATCATAAGAAAAAATTGAGAGAGAGAAAGGGAGAGAGACATGAGTTTGCACTCCACGTCAGGGGCGGACCCAAGGGTGTTTGGGGGTGTTTCGAGACACCCCCTAAATTTTAGGAAAACGATATTCTAACCCCGGTAGTAATTTACGTGTGGACAAAAAATTATAACTGATATTGGAAGACACCCCTGAAATTTGAATAAATAATAATCCTACTATCTTTTTTTAATTTGCGTATGTGAATATAAGATATAATTTTGGGTAATTCAAACCTAGAACACTATTATTAATAACAAAGATCATTTCTATTAGGCTACAACTCATTTGTTGTTCAATTTTAAACACTGTGTAATAGTAAAATGTCATTTTCGATCTCTAGTTATTTTCAAAATCTAATAATTAAACTAATTTCAAGCTACCCTTAATTTGCATTGATTTTATGGTTGTAGGACAATTGTTGAAAGAGTATTTTTCAACTTTGGTTTACATCAAAAACAAGTTTAGAAATCGAATATAGTGATTGTCTAGTAGAACATACATAGACAACCTTTTTGAGCAGTATAGACACCAAATGTATTCTACAATTATTTCGAAATATGAACACATCGTGAAATTTTAGGTATTTTCTTATTTAATAATTATTTATTTATTATAAATATTATTTTTTATTAAATTTATTTTTAAAATTTATTTTTTATTAATTTTATTTTTATTAATTTTATATCCAATCTGATTGCTTTGAGAGGGGGGGGGGGGGGGGGTATCTCCGCAGCAGCCATCGCTGGTTGCTTTGAGGCAGGAGGGTCGCAAGAGTGGTAGGGAGAGGGATCGTTGGGGCGATTACTAAAAAAAGATAAGAGTGGAAAATAGACGGTGGAGATGTTGGTTGTCACGACGATTACTAAAAAAAATAGTAATTACCTTAACTCATTTCGTTGTCGAGGTCATATTTAGGTGTTTCGTCGAGTTGCACGTTAAAGATGTTTCATTCCTTTCATCGCAAGTTAAGGATGTTATGATTAGAAATTGGTAACGGGTTTTGGAAGGATTGATTTTTCTAAATATCATCGTTGAATCACGATTTCGTGTCCGTCCACGAAATCAAAATTAATTGTGTGAATGTAAAATGATATAAAATCTATCCATGTGTAGTACGGGAAAATTCATCGGCACCATTCCAAGATAATCGTGTGCAAAGTTCTGGATATTAAATTAAACTAGCTTATACCCGTCCGTTGGTCGGAATATTTTGAGATATCTATTTCGATGATATATCTTGATTAGGGGTGTCCATTCGGGTTCGGTTTTTCGGGTTTACCCGAAACCGACCCGATTATATATATTTTTGGTTTTTCGGGTTCGGGTTCGTTTCAGGTTTCGAGTTTGGTTTTGCTTATCGATTTTTCGGGTTCCGGATAAAAACCTCCAATGAATAGAACTCAACCCGTATTCTTAAGTGTTCGGGTTTTCGGGTTTCGGTTTTGCTTTAACCGAACCCGATAAGGAATTTTCGGGTTTCGGGTAATCGGAACCCGCAAGTCCTTATCGGTTTCGGATTCAGTTTTAGTGATTTTTGGTTTCGGGTTTTTGGTTTTTTCGGGTTTCAGTTCTGGTAACCGAACCCGACCCGAACTGA